GAGAAATTTTAAGCCATAAATATCGCATTTAAAAACATTTTTTACAATAAAATGTATGAATATATCATTTAAGTTTTTCTTAATTTCATACATGGAAATATATGAAAATTTTATACACCTTTTCTCTCATGTTGTTTTGTTTCACTGTACATGTCTTGGCAGATCGCTGTTGTTGACTCAAATAGACACTGGTTTCAACTCGCGAAGTTCAAGCTCTTCGAATATTTAGCAAACTTCCTCTGTTATGAAAATAAGTGGCAAGGTTGTAGTTTGCGCCTCTCAACTTGATTCTTGCGCAATAGATTGACTTATTTCTAATTTAAAGGAAATAAGTTCTCTTAGAACTGAAATTCAAGTATAATAGTTTCCTTTCCATTCGGGGGTAAAGATGAACGTAAATGAAAAAAAAAATTTTAATAGCAAATTCCATGAGAATGTTTGCATTCGACAAAAGTCAAATTTTTGAAGTTGGTTGAAAATTGCACACGCATGGCTTTTATTTTGTTGAGAGTTGGACTAACATTTTTAACGACCAGGAGAGTAGCTTAATGACAAAGTTGACATCCATCGTTGAGTACGTCAGCTTTAACGAAAACAGGAAGTGGAGGGACTTTCCCCAGGAAACTCGTCATGTATCACAAAGCAGTCTCGTGATTTCTCAGAATAGCCACATAATGGTCGTAACCATAACAAATGATGAATAGAAGGTGCGGTCTTCTACTGCATCAATCGTTTGACAGCTAATCTGTAACAAATTGCGTGACGTGGGTTTGTTAATTTTCATTTCAAAGGCAGTCGCGTTGAACAACATGACGGTAGTCGGAAAGTTGCTATTTTACTTTCCGCCTTAGTTAGCGCTCTTCTTGTCAAAATAATCAGAATCTTGTTATATAAGCAACATAGGCCTTTATTGACAAGGAAAGTTGACTTCATTATTGGTAAACGCTTTGTCGTTCATTCATCAACCTGAGAGAGTGGCGCAAAGGGCGAGTGATGTGTCTGCAGTTGATTGGCGATATCAAACAAAAGACGTCGTTATTTTAGACGTGTATAGTTACGTCTTTTCTCTGGGCTGGAAATCCTTGAAAAATAAAGTTTAAACCATAATCTCTATTTATTCATATTGTTCTTATTTATTAGAAACTATCCATGCCAAGCAGTGGTTTGTCTCAAGATACGATGGGACCTTTAAAAATAATTGCGGGCTCAATGCCTCATCGCCATGTAAAACCCTTCAGCAAGTTACTGTGCATGCAAGTGAAGGTGATATAATCAATATAGACGGCACAGGAACATCACGCGACCCTTATCCATGCCGGAACGAGAAAGGATTGGATCTAGCTGGTTTAGTTCTGCGCAGCTACAATAGTCGAGCATTTATTTCCTGAAGGACGAATGGATTTCGGTTTTTTTGCGGCATGGCTTCTCGAGGAGTCTTTTTTGAAGAAATCACCTTCGTTAACACTTCAATTCATCTCTTTGAGTGTTCTTTAAACGTGGTCGCCTGCAGCTTTATAAACAGCTCTGTTCCTACACTCACCTTGAAATTTGATGAATTCTTTGTGGTGAGAAATGTTCAACTATATGGATGCATCTTTCGAAACAACAGTGCTAGTAGTGTTGCAATTTATGGAAATTCTTCCGTTAATTTGAACATTTCAAGTTCTGCATTCGTCAACAATGAGATACGCAGTGAAGGAGACGCCATACTTAACATGTCTATTCAAAACTTACAAG